GTCTAAGTGAAAGATCGTGCCAAGTTTAGGGGGCCACCGATGGGTTAGCCCTAATATGTATACACTGCATTGAAGATTTTGTTTTAATCATGAACATCATGTATGCATTGCATTCATGTATACATATCTGTGTATTCATTCTCTCAAAATTTGTATACATTCCAAATTCTTTCTTCAGTAAATGAGAATTGCACGTGGAATATAAAAATACTCAATAGCAAACACACAAGTCGAATCGGATAACGAGAAGAACTTACATGACTTTAAATTTTAGAGTTATGGATGGAGAATCCACAAAATTAAAATTAGAATCCCCATTTTTATGAATAATCCTAGGATAACTTTCATAAACATGACAATTGATACCCACAATTAATTACTATTACGTAAATTTTTACCTAAATTAGATATAACTTTCAATTTCAAAAATTAAAACCCCAAAAAAAATTGAATGACAATACAAGAGGGGATCAAACATAGGCTAACAATTAGAGAAATTGACGGGTAGACATCAACAAACCATCAAGAATTTAAAAGCGAAAGAGAAAAAAATACACTATGGACGAATATTTTTATAGAATTCAATATGTAAAACTAATAAACAAGAAAGTAAATCATCTTTTATTCAAAGTAATGAAGAAGGAGAATTGAATAAATATTTACATAATGAATAAAAAAACATCATTCAAAAGAATCGTGTATGGGAAAGAAGAGAAAAAAAAAGACAGAAAAAAACCACTTCCCAATAAAAAAGGACATCACGCTGCCACCTCCTAAAATTATTTAATTTAATTAAAAAAAAACTTCCCAACACGTGCGCTACTAATTGCAAAAATTTAATTTTAAAAACCTTTTTTTTGTCAAGAAAATAAAAGATGGCTATATGTTGCCAATTAGTAAAATGGGATGTCATGCTGTGCCATTTTTTCCTTTTTAAATGTCAAAAAGATTTTTTTTTTCTTTCAATTTTCAAATGGGCCTTTTGACACAAACATGGCCCAAACTTAAAAATGACTGGTCAGCCACCTAACAAGCCGTGTAAGAAAGTCAAGTCAAAAAGTCTAAATACTGCGTGGCTCCGACCCATGTGTAACTTATTTGCATTTTTATTTTATTTGATGAATTAGAAAAAAAAAATTGGAAAAATTATTTTATTTTTATGCTAAAAGAAATCATTTCTTAAAGATTCTTTTAAATATAATAATGTCATTATCTTTTTATTTTAATTTTGACTATTCCACGTAAAGTTATATAAAGGGAATAGTTAAATAATTTTCTCAATTCGATGACTCAAATCAATAATTTTATAATTAAAAGTGCAGAAGAGTGTTTACTATTCAAGCATCGTCATCTTGCTCTGGTTACTAAGAGAATTTTGAAAAATAAAAAGTAATTTATGTATTTTAAAATTTCGTTAAAGGAGTTCGAGTGAATCGGTATATGATCCCCACCCCCACCTCACCTCACTAGCTGGTAAAGGAATAGTAGTTGTAGTAATCAATAGTGAATTGTCATGATGACTCAAAATCCCCATATATTTTGATTGAAAGTGATGACATGCACTTGTGACATTTTATTTCATATAAAGTTTAAGAGAATATTAGTTTTACTTTAATTTTTTAATTTTCTAACCGTCTTGATTAAAGAATTTGCGTCAAAAAATCTCACATTCAAAATAAAGTTTTTTATAACATCGACAATTGCATATCCAATTTAAAACTCATCATAATTCTTATTAATAGTAATTTAACTTATATTTAAAACTTTATAAATATTTTATAATAACTTTAAATTATTATATAATATAATAATTTAATAATCACGAACTTAAAATCTTGAATTCGCCGATATAAAGATCCCTTTTTACTAACGTGTTTGTCGTTTTATTTGCTTGGAAATTGTTATGTTGACCATAGGCACACAAATAGTTTGGCACTTGAACAACTTGTGACTACTACTACTTAATGCATATTATTTTTATTTTATTTTTGGTTTCTCACCAGATGTCCGTAGCTCATATTAGAACTTTGACTAAATTTGGATCGCGCACTACGGGGCTCATTTGGGGGTGGCGCTCCCAACAAGATTTTCTCCATACTCAGGGCTCGAACCCGAAACCTTTGGTTAAGGGTAAAACACTCCTATCAGTGCACCACAACCCATGTTGGTGTCATCATTTTCTTTCATGTTTTTTTTTTCTAAAAAACATTTCAAGTCAAACATTTTAAAACGGAATGAATATATTAGGGCGGATCTAATAGACTGTCAGAATATATATAATAGATGATGTTATTTTCTTAATAAGATGTTTTAATTTTAAATTTTAGATATGATTTCTTTTTTAAAAAGGGAGTGTTTTTCCCAAATAACATGTAACACCTGCAAATTCAAATTAATAAGATTATAATATAGGTATTGAACACTAATGAGAAATTGAAAAAAAAAAACAAGAAACTAGTGAGGTACCATTAAAGATGTCGAGCAATGAATATGACTTTCAATATCGAGCTTTACATATGATTTTTTTTAATAGAGTGCTTCTCTCAAATAAAGTCAAACTCTAATATAAATATCGAACATTAAACAAGAAATTGAAAAAAACAAGAAGAAGATAGTGAAGTACCACCAAAAAAGTGGTCATACATATGAGACTTTTGATTTCGAACTTTGGATATGATTTTTTAAATAGGGAACATTTCTTCGAAATGACTTCCAAATAACGTTCATTTCAATTAGTCAAACTCCAATATAATATCGAACACTAAATGAGAAATCAAAAAAACAAGAAGAAGCTAGTGAGGTACCACCAAAGATGTGCAATCGATGAGACTTCAATTACGAATTTTGGATATGATTTTTTAAAAATAAGGAGCATTTCTCCGGAATAACTTGTAAACGACGATCATTTTAATTAGTCAAATTAGTATAACATCGAATATTAAATGAAAAATCGTAAAAAAGTATCACAAAAAATGTAGTGCAACGGATGAAATTTACAATTTCGATCTTTAGATATGATTTTTTAATAGGAAGTGTTTCTCTCAAATGACGTCTATGTTGATTAATCTGACTTTAATATAAAATATCGAACCAAAATAAGTTAGTGAGGTGGGGTGGGTGGTGCTTTCACACATAGAGGTGGTGTGTTTTCCCTTTGCCAAAATTGCTGCAAATTTTTGCGGCCTTTAAACTTCCTCTGTGATTCCCTGTAATCATATAAGGATCAAATTCCTGATTCCATATTTGTACCTTCCTTTTAGCCTTTTCACTTTCTCTCTCTATCTTTGTTTCTCTCTCTAACACACGCAGAGAGTCTTTTGTACATGCATCCATGTGTGCTGAAAAAACTGGGAATTTCATAGCTTGTAATGTTGTTTTCAGTTCTCTTTGAAAAAGATAAAGCTTTGAGCAATTTGGGTTTTGGGTTTGGATTCATGTTTATTGGTACTTCATTGTATACTTCAAGTTCAAGAACTGTTAGTTATAGCTCAAAAGGCATCTGGGTTTTTGATATTAATGGTTTTTGATTCAGTTTCTGCTATTACCCCTGATTTCCCTAACGTATTTTGGGTAAACCCATCTCCTTCTCCATGTAAAAGTAATGGCAATTCGTTGGTGACGAGGAGGAGGAGTAGGGGGAAATTGGGTTTGGATTCGAGTTGGAGGTATAGGATTCGTGCGAAATGGGCAATTCGAGCTTGTGTGAATGGTGGAGACCACCATAATTTTGACATGCAGATTACGAATAGTGCTAGAAGAGGAGCTAGAAATATTGTAGTTAAGAGATTTGCTGATGAATTGGATGCTTATGGAAGAGTCTCTGAGGAATTAGAAGCTGCTAGTCGTTCTAGTAACAATTTTGCTAGTTTTCAAGAAGACCCTTTTGTAGATAAGCTAAGGACTCAATTGGGGGTGATGCATCCATTACCTTCACCTCCAATAAATCGAAATATTTTCGGTCTTTTTGCATTGTTTTTCTTTGTTGGTATTGTTTTTGATAAGGTTTGGACATCTAGAAAGAGTAATGCTAAGTCAAACAATGGAGGAAACTCCGGGATATGGTCACAGGTCCCAGCAAACCTTTCTTCATTGTTGGAGAAGGATTTGCAAAGGAAAGAGTCAGTGGAGTGGGTAAACATGGTGTTAGGGAAGTTGTGGAAGGTCTATAAACCTAGGATTGAGAATTGGATCATTGGTTTGCTTCAGCCTGTCATTGATAATCTCAAAAAGCCTGATTATGTTCAGAGAGTTGAGATAAAGCAATTCTCACTGGGGGATGAGCCTCTCTCTGTTAGGAGCGTGGAGCGGAAAACTTCTCGTGGAGTCAATGATTTGCAGTGAGTAACACTTCTTGCAATTATCCCACACTACCCCTTTTCTAAGTGAAAAAAGAAAATTTTTAAAGTTAAAAATAGAAAAGCTCTTGTTTTGTTTTTGGTTGAAAGTCTTTGAGTTGGTATATTCTCCTTAGCCTATATTTCTTAATTGAACTGAGGTCCAGAATCAAAAGGGAAATATACATGCACATTTTAGAGAAAAACTCTTTGTGCAAATTTCATGGTAAAGCAGTCGAGCTGATATTTTCTCCTTAGCTCATTATTTCAGTTGTCGTCGAGAATAGAAGGAAAATACACGTACAACATTTGATTAGGAGGAAAGTATTTTCTCTCGATATAGAGATATGGTGTTTTTGCCTTGTGGGAAACAATTAAACTAGTTCCTTGAGACTGATCAATACAGTAAAACAGATTAAGCTAGCTCCTTGATAAACTTCAACCAGATAATTACAGCCAATCTTTTCCTTGATGAAGTTTGATGTGGAGATATACATCCGTTACACCTTTGTGCCAAGGTAGTTTTAGATGGATTTACAATTTGAAGGATAGTGTTCTGAAACTTCATAGAAAATTGTTTGCTTATCAATATGCTTCAACACCCTCGTTACCCAGAAAATCTTCTTTCTGGACCAGGAAAGTACATTTTTTGGGACATTTTGAACCAAATTTTAGCTTTCTACAGAGGCTCTATCTCTTCCTCATTTTGCTTGTTATTATTCAACTTCGGTTCATTATTTGAAATTGTAACGTGTATATACTGCTACGATTAGTTCTACGTCTACTATATCCTATGCTACAAAGTTCTCTAGTTCCGATCAAATTGACATGATAAAAGCACAACTCCTTATCTTTTCTTGTTATGTGAAAGTTCAGGCTTTGCACTACTTCCCCTGTTAGTTGCTAAGTTTTCAGTTTTCACCATTGTTTTCTTTTTCTGTGTACTTGGATTTGCGGCACTTAAGCTGAAAGTCTTTTGAAAATAACCTCACTACATCCAGAGGTTGTGGTATGGTCTCAGTACACTCTATCCTTCCTGGACCTCACTCGTGAGATTTCACTGGGCATGTTGTTATTGTTATGTGAAAGTTCATTGTTTCATGGAATGTATCAACTGATTTGTGCATTCTTTAATTCTATCTAGGTATCAGATAGGTCTCCGATACACTGGTGGTGCTCGCATGCTGTTAATGCTGTCACTAAAATTTGGAGTCATCCCCATTTCTGTGCCAGTCGGTGTTCGGAACTTTGACATTGATGGTGAACTCTGGGTCAAGTTACGATTAATACAAACAGAGCCTTGGATTGGAGCTGTTTCTTGGGCTTTTGTTTCCCTTCCCAAGATAAAGCTTGACTTGTCACCATTCCGTTTGTTCAACCTAATGGGTATGTGAATTTCGACTTAGGACTTCTATCTATGAGATGAATTGTGTCAGAATCTTGCATGCTTTAAGTTTTATATAGGCAATACCAAATACATGAGAAGTAAATTATAGTCATATTAGTATGTTACTTGAAGCCCAATAATTTTTTATGAGTCTCTTAGTCCCCTCAAATATTCATATGCTAGTAGAAAATTTAGAGAACTTCTTGTGCTTTTTTATTGTGATTTTTTTTTGAATTTTTTTTAAAGATATTGGACTAAGATGAGCTTAAAAGAACAATATGGATAGTGCGAATTCATATAACTTGCTTGGGATTGAGTCGGATTAGTTGTTGAGTGCCCAGCTGATTCAGATACTAAACACTGTTTTAAAGCTGTTTTCTTTTGATAAGAGACTGTTTCAAAGCTGATTTATTCAAGATTATATATCTGTTCACACCCAACTTTTGTGTTTAATTTGTTTCTTCTGGAACAAAATAGCTTTTGATTATGTTGAGCGCTCAATTCTTAGAAAAGAGTAAGAGTCCATTTGGATTGGCTTAAAAAAAGTAGCTTTCAAGTAAAAAATAAAAAGTCAAACTTATTATTTTTGACTCGAAAAAAAAGTAGGGGGAGACCTACTTTGGTTTTTAACTTATTTTATGTCATTTCTAACTTATTTTAAGTTATTTTTAACCTTGCCAAACACTTTCTAACTTATTTTAAGTCATTTTTGACTTATTTTAAGTTATTTTATATTTGTCAAAAACTGATTTAAAAGTAGGTTTGACCAACTTTTAAACCAATCCAAACACCCTGTTAATTATGGGTCGTCAAATTCTGATCATTGGAACATATTCTGTAAGACAGTGGAATGACTCCATAGAGTTTATTCTTTTCGAGAATGAACTTCATGGAGTTTATTCTTATCGGGTACTTAAATGTAATTTTAGGAACCTAATTCGAGTCGTTAGCAACTATTTGGCGTACTGTGAAGACTATGAAACATATTTGCTTTCTTCTTTATCTTGTTTTCTTTGTTGCTCTGTGCAATCTTCTCCGTGGAATCAGCTTCCAAGACTAGCATTCTTCTGTTCTAGTTGAGTTGCTGTGAAGTGAGATCTTTCCAGTGCATAGTTACCAATTGTTGATTACGTACTGATGCTGAGTTGTCATCATTTGAATGACTGCTGTTTGTTTTCTATTTACACTTTCTAAAATGGGATAGTGATACCTAAAGTTTAACGAATAAACTAGATGAGTGACATTATTGATGTGCCCAATATGAGGATCTTGACATGTTTCTTTTCTTTTTCTTGCATGTATTTGGGAAACACTAGCAATTCCTGTTCTATCAATGTAAGTACTATTTTATCCATTATCTGCTGTTCTTATTACCTACATGCTTTCCACTTCTGTTTGTTATCCCCCATTATTGGTATATCCAATTTCTTTTTGCTATTTAATTAGCATCTCATTGAAGAGTTCTTTTTCTTGTTTTTTCCTTTGGGTGATGGGTGGGTTGCGGGGTGAAGTGTAACTGATCACTGAATAATGCTTTCACCAGGCCACTTTCACTCCTAGCTTATGCAGTCAAATTTGCTTTTTTCAGTTTGATAATTTTTAATGCCCCTTTTGCTTTTCGATAGATATGGTCATGCTCAATTGTCATCAATCATGTGTGATTTTTCTTGAGAGTCTTCCTTATTCACCTTATTCTGGATTTCTGAAGTTGCTTCTAGTTAGGCAACTCTTGTTATGTATTCCGAGGATGTTCACTTTCTCTCTCTCTGCCCATTTTCTTCCCTAATTTTGGAAATCTCTTGTCTTGTGTCAAGTCTTTTATTTTCAGCTCAAGTTAGTGTCATTTAAATGCTCTACAATAATGGCTGCATTTGGTGTTTTAGCACGTATTATCTTTAAAGTTAATTATAGGCCTAGATCTTTCTAGCATCATATTAATTCTGAATTTCTTGCCTGATGCGTTTTCAATTTGCAGTACTCTATGTAACTATCTCATTTTTCCACTGCAGTGGTGGGTTTGAGTTTTAATGTCTTCTACGGATGTTTCAGGTTTTTGAAGAAACTTCTTACTGAGGATTTACCTCGTCTCTTTGTTCGTCCGAAAAAAATTGTGTTGGATTTTCAGAAAGGGAAAACAGTCGGCCCTATTCCAAGTGATCCTAAGTCTGGTCAAAGTGAACAACTTAAGACTGGAGAAATGCAAGAAGGAAATAATGACTTTGCTGGAGAACTATCAGTGACTCTTGTTGATGCAAGGAAACTCTCTTATATCATCTATGGTATGAATTTGTTCATCTTTCATCAGTGGCATCAATCTTTTTCTTAGGTTTGATATTTTGCTTTTTAGTAACACTATAAACTTGTCATGCACTATGAACTATTAAATGAGTTCGTCTCTTCATATTATTTAAAAGTTAAAACTATTCTGTAGCATATTCTAGTTTGTGAAAGAAAAAAGTCGGAGGTATTTACTTGAAAATCAGTTGAAGCTCCCAAAGAATGCGCTTTCCATTGCATGAGCAACTACTTTTAAGTGAATATAAAATCCATATATATTGGTCCAGTAATCACTGTGAACCAGTTTAAATATAATCTATCATCCTTATGTGAAATAGAATAATTACTGGATGAAATCACTGGGGCAGCTCGGTGCACAAAGCGTCCTGCATTAGGGAAGGGACGCACCCTAAGATTACTGAATCAAATCACAGATATAGGAAAACAGTACCAAAAGAAATCACATTATAAAGGAGGAAATGCGAAGACTTTCGACTATGCTTACTAACGAATATAACAACAACATACTCAGTGTAAAACCAGAAGTGGGGTTTGGGGAGAGTAAGATGTACACACGCCTTCCCCCTACGTTTGTGGGGTAGAGAGGTTGTTTCAGATGGGCCCTCGGCTCAAAAGAGAAGTTATTCGGAGAAGGGGTGCCAGAAGAAAATGACAGCAAAATATCAAGATACAAAGTAAAATGAAGCAACAGAATAAAGAAAACACATTGAAGAATAAGAGATTACACAATTACTAAATACACATTAAAGATGTTTAGATCAGGTTATCACATCAAACAGGAATTGGGAAAAGAAAACTTTATGGTACAAGGATCTTGTTTTTTCTTTTTAGTTGTATGTGTCGTAAATGTCATAGTTAATAAAAGTTGAAAAAAAGGGAAGGAAAAAGTTACCTATGAAAAAAAATGTAAAGCAAAAACGAGGATGGGTCCCAAAAATTTCTGCTGCTAGGCCTCCAGTTCATGTATACATGATACAGTATGTTTAGGTGGCATGATTCTCCTGTTAAGCTGAAAGTTCAATTTTTAGATGGAAGTTTTTCGCCCTCATTGCTCAGTTTTATGAATGATAGATACTACTGCTTTTCTGTACATGTAATATCCTCTTTTGTTTGCCCATGTCTGTCTTTGTTAAATTTCCCTGGCCTCTATCGTCTAGGAAAAACTGATCCATATGTTAATCTAAGACTTGGAGATCAAGTAATACGCAGCAAAAGAAACAGTCAAACTACTGTTATTGGACCTCCTGGAGAGCCTATATGGAATCAGGTGATTTAAATATAAATCTGTTGGCCTGATATGCCGGTATGATTTATTTGTGGCGGCTTGCTATATCTTTTACTGTAACTTATACATCGTTTGCAATGTTTCTTTGCCTTTTGGCAGGATTTTCACATGTTTGTCACAAACCCCAGGGGACAAAAGCTATATATAGAAGCAAAGGATTCCTTTGGTTTTACAGATTTGACTATTGGCTCAGGGGAGGTAAATCCTCCTGTACATGCAAATATTATCTATTGTCTTTGTTTCTTAGAGGCGATCCATCTTATTTGTTGGTTTTATAATATGTATCTTTACACAAAATGGGAAATGCAAATGAATAAAGTCCTTATTCAGTGCACAAAATACTCCCAACTAGTGCAAAGGTGGGAGAGACTGGTATACTGTAACCAGTGGCGTAAGTACCATTTTTCGTCAGCGATGTTACCTTTTAAAATTAGAAACAATAAATAAACATTATAACACCATATTAAAAAAAAGGAACAAAATATAAATAAAACCCAATTCATGTATAGTACTATACCTTTTTTTAAGAATAAAATAAAATAAATATTATTACTTTTTCTCAATGAGTTTTCTTTTTTTTGAAATGTATTAAGAAAAAACCTCATTAAAAATAATAGTATTAAATATGTTTCTATCTAAAGCACCAAATGATCACTAAACAATTTTATTCATTGATTTCATAAATCAATGAAAAAAAAAACAGAAAAAATGAGGCTATGTAAGTAAGTTTCAACACACAACCTAAGCTGTGGAATTCCAGCACTAAACCAATTGAACTACTCTCAACTTTTGTTTAAGAAGTGTCACCTTAATTATATATCCATTCAATCTGCTTTTCCCTTTTCACTATATTTTTTATTTTTTTCCGACAAAGCAGTGTCACGTGACACATCTTGAGCCTTCCTAAATCTGCCCCTGACTGTAACTATACGGTATCCCATCACATGTATTTCTGCAAAGAGGCTGTTTCCATGCCTCGAACCAGCGACCTACAGGTCACAAAGAGCAACTCTACCGTCGATGCAAGGCTCGGCCTCTAATGATGCAAATGAATTTAGTATTGTATTTTGTAAACATGAAAAAGGATGCTTTTGTCATTTTATTTTTTTCTATGGGACATTATTTATTAATGATCATCAAGGTGATATTTGCATAGCTTGTTGGATAGGATTTGTATAAAAAGGTATCCTGCTAATGACTACTACTTCTAGGTTGATCTGGTATCTCTCGAAGATACTGTACCGACAGACAAAATTGTGATCCTCCGAGGTTGGGGACTACTGGGACCAAGGCCTGTAGGAGAGATTTTACTGCGACTGACATATAAAGCTTACGTCGAAGATGAGGAGGACGAAAGGATTGAAGCAAGATCCAAGTATTTGGATGCTTCAGATGATGAATCATCTGACTTGGATGAACGAGATACTGCTGTGTATGAGCAGCGTAGTGGAACAGATAAAGAATCATTTATGGATTTATTAGCAGCATTAATTGTCAGCGAGGAATTCCAAGGGATCGTGGCATCTGAAACAGGCAATACTAAATCTGTAGATGATTTTAAAACTAGAGTGTCAACATCAAGACAACGTACTCCTTCTAGGTCTGTACAGCAAACTTCTGATACTGTTCCTGAAAACTTTGGAGGTAAAGTACATTGAATTGATCTATAATAGTTCAAATCCCAGTTTGTTTTTCCCAGGAAATGCATAGAGTTCTTCCCATTTCTTGCATGTCTAATTAACATCTCTTATTTGCAGAATCACCCCTGTTTTGGCTAGCGATTATTACAAGTATCTCAGTTCTAATTGCTCTCAACGTCAGTGGTTCTAGCATTTTCAATCCATGAATAATGAAACAAAATAAGATTGATAGCTCCTGGTAAAGAATACAATATAGAGTTCCTGCTGGAATTATTCTGTCAAACCACACATAGTTGTCACCACTCTGAGATTGCCCGAACGGAAACCTTATCAAAGTCCTTACCTTCTGCCGGTCTTCCATTCGAGGTGCGTTGTTCCTCTGGTTCTATACCTTAGCTCACTTTTCCACATGCATTTGTCATCGAAACTCATTTTTCTACTTCTTGCTGTCTACCTTTGTCAGCCTTTTGGCTAAGATCAACTATGGTATCTGTTCTTATCAGTTCTTCTGCTTCTTGCTGAATTTGCTTTTCATCCCTTAAGTGCATGGCTGTACATTCTTCAAATATGCAGACATTCTTTGTTCTTTTTTGGATTTTCCTCACATCATAAGCATTGTTTTGCTGATTCAATAGTCTTCTGCAATGCTTATTTTTACCTACAGTCTGATAAAACAATTGTGTTATCAATATCAAGGAGAAGAGAAATAAATGTTTAAACTTAAGAAAGGAAACATTAACACATGAGTGACCCTCTATTCCCAAATTAGATATGAGGGAGAAGGGAGCTCGTCCACATTATATTCTGATCAACTCTACCCAGTCTGGAAAAATTAGCCTCTATATACTGAGTAAAGAAACCAACGAATCAAATGTCAATTTCATCTTGAAACACAAAAACAAAGTAAAACAGAACCCTTTTGTTTCTTTTTTGAGGGTTTCCTGTTGTATTATCTTTTGAGTACGTTCCATATTCTATCGGTAATGGTGATAGCAGAAAACAACAGTAGTATTTAATGGCAATTATGAGCCAACTATTTGATCTAATTTCAGAGTGAAAGCTAGCAACATATTTCCAGTTTCCTTGTATAAATTAGCAGATGTCCATTGTTTTGTTTTAATGTTTCAATTACCAACTCCTTGAAGAATATGATATGACTTGACAATTGGTGGATAACACAAAGTCTGGTCTGAATGATGATCTCCACATATCAGATCCGCGGAGGTTTTCTCTAGGAAAATAAGGATTTTAACATAAAAGGAATTAGTGGTTATTTCATTTTAGCATCGCGCACTTCACATTTGTCATCTTAAAGTTGTGATTCTGTAATTCCTTGAGCACTGAACTAAAATTTGCTTATTTTTCTTGTTTGTTGGCAGGCTGGGCAACTGCTTCCTCCATTATCTGTAAACTATTGTACACTCTTTAACATTTTAACCAGATCAACAACTCAAACCCTCCCCCCTCCCCTACCCCACAACTCCAATAGCAAATGATAGGAATCCCCAGACACAAAAAAGAGAAGAGAACAACAAAAAATATGTTACAATGAGGTATGTATATATTGGCGGCAGATTTTGGCCATCCTTGTTCTCTTGGTATTTGTTACATCCCGTGAATTCTAAGTCTCTCTCTCCGTGTGTGTATGTGTGTGCGCGTGTATGCCAACTGTCGTAGCTATAGCAGCACAATGAGGTTTTTGACATTCAATCGCGAGGGTGTACTAAGCCGTTGAAACTAGTGAAATACACCTTTCTTTTTCTTCATTGTTGAAGTGGTAAGTGAAAGGGCGCTGGCATTACTAAAAGACGTTACTGTCAGTGTCGCGTATTTACGTAGCTGTAGAGTATTTCAACATCCCGTTATCGCTTGTTACTTTATATACTTGTGAAAGTTCTTGAACCTAAGTTCATATTTTCGTATCATAATATAATACAAGTTATGTTGCATAATTCCTATAGAATTTATGCTGGATCATGGTTAAAGTTCAGTTGAGAACCACAAGTAATGTCATACGAGACGCTAGTTATTCCTATAAAATTTATGTCGAGTGAATTAAACACTACATAACTTATACTTGATAACTTAATTTTCATGAAACTTACTCCGTATATAGGCAACAATTCTCTAAACTTATGCCTGAATGAAATTAGATCATAAATATGGAGCAATCTGTGCTATAAAGCTTCTTTGCTTTATACCCATCGAAATCAAATTTTGTAGGAGCTAAGGAGGAAAAGGGAGACAAAGAGAAACACAATTACTCATATGGTGAAATATGAATTTGGTAAAATTTATCGAGAACAACTCCTCTATCTCTCTGTACACGCTATTTTTCCCAAATCTTATTTTGTAGAAATACATAGGATTGTTCATTTGAGTTTGGTATGGAGGAAAATATATTCTAAAAAATAAGTGAATTTTATATTTATTTATTTGTGTTTGATAAATAAATAAAAATTATTATTCTAAAAACACTTTTATATAATCTAGGCAAACAACATAGGGATGAGGGTGGTGAGGTGGGGTTTTGGGGTGCACGGGAAAGGAAAAAGGAAACCCATAGGAAATGTCACTTCTGAAATAAGTTTTCTTTCATTACTATATTTATTTTTAAGTAATAATTAGCTTTTAGAATATAATATTTCTGACTGAAAACCACTTTCCATAGAATTCTATATCTTTGAAGCACAACCATAACATGTTTGTCTGTCAAAACACTTCCTCATGTCCATAGTCCTACCTTGACGCTATTTTTCTTTTTAATTCGTAAAAAAGAATGTCAATCTTTTTATAGTTAGAAACAGTTTTACTTCAAATTTATGTTTTGTTATTAGTGAAATAATTTAATGCTCACACCAATGGCCAAGTAATGTTTTAGACCACACATTTTTTAAAGTTTTACTTTTATTTAATTTTGTGTCAAGTTAAACGGCGTCACATAAATTGAAATGAAAAAATAACATTTAGGCCTCATTTATTTTAATGATGAAGAGTAAGACGTTTGAATCTCAATGATTAAGATATTGTCTTTAGATCTGAACACAGAATATTTAAGATGTTCTCTTTAAATCTTAATAGTGACTGATTATGACTATTTGATTTCAACACCTAAATATGCATAATTTATTTATTTGTACATATAAATATACAATTCAAATTAAAAAGTAATTGACTATTAACAAATATAAATTTTAAAAAATAAAATTATTAGCATTTGATTAAAACATAATAAAACTATGCTAGTGATTATGAGATGGTTTATAATAGTGAGAGTGGTAATGATTGGTGTTAGTGACTAGTATTGATGGTGGTAATAGTCATGATGATGGAGATGGTTGATGTCGTAGTGACTAGCTTAATGGTGAGAGTTGATAGTGATGGTTATGATTGTACCGATAAAGTTGATTAATATTGGTAGTTGACAATATTAATAATAGTGGTTGAAGAATATGTTGTGGTTGACGATATATTTGAGACAGTTGGTTGTGATGCTAGTTGTAATGCTGGTAGTAGGAATTGACCATAGTAATAGTAGTAATTGACAGAGATAGTGGTGGTGGGAGGCAGTGATAGCGATTGTAGCTTTAGTGGATATAATTATAATGATGAAAGGGGTAGATGCGGTTGCGAGTGATAATAGTAACTAGTACTGTCAATATTGCACATTCACATAGAGTGGAGTATTTGAACATTTCATTTTTTGCTTGTTTAAGAGGAACATGAGTAGAACTTCATAAGACACTCATTTCCAGTCTAGTGGCTGTACACTAATATATATAGAATTTTGTTGGTCAAGCTGAGGAGGAATTATGGTTGTTTCTTATAAGGAAAAACATAAGTAAATAGTTACACATGTAGTAGACATTTTCTGCTTGCAAAACAGAAGCAATATATATTAGCTACTTGTAACTCTTATCATCTTTAAATATATTTATCATATTATAGATTATAAATCATCCACAGAACCAAAATCCAGTTTGAGAACTCATGGAGTAGAAGGGAGCAAAACAATTTTTACTTAACAAAAAGGCTAGTTCTCCATCCCTTCCCACTGCAAGCTCAAGTTAAATAAGGAAAGCTATATTACATCTGCCATCAAATGATGGCTACTTATGGTAGAATGAAATCAAAGAATCACCTATGTGCCACGTGCAGGCGGTGCTCGTAGGCATTCTATACTACCATGGAATGGTTGTCAAGAGCAGCTAGGTTCTATAACCATCATTATAGAAGTAATCCAAAGCTGTGTCACTGAAGGAATCATTAGAGTGATGATAAACCAGACCTGATAGATTTCTTTTCCCATCGGAGAGCATATTTTTATGGATGAATACGCCCTGTATGCATGAAGCAGATTTTGTGTGTTCAATGATTCCACGCTTCCATAGTCCTACCTCCAATAACACTTCAGCACCATGCCTATTGAAGTATGTACAATATCTTCAACCAGAACCGCCTGCAACTTCTGCTGTACGCTGCCTCATCATCTCCATGACAGCAGCTCTCCGCCGAGAATCTGCCTGCTGCTGCATCCTCCGCAAATGTTCTTTCAAATCTCTGTATAAAGGGTAAAAAGATAGCAAACTTTACATCGATAGTTGATATTCAAAAGTAAGAACTGCCAATACAATAGGTGCAGAACATGAATCATTACAAGTCAGGAGTGGTGGCATTGTTGCTAGAGATGTAGAAATAACGATAGATTCCTTAAGAATAGATTTAGGTAAGACCTCAGAGATATCTTGTTTCTTTTAAGTTTCTCATCTGAGATATCATAAAAATGAGATATTTCATTAATGTATAAAGTGCAAGCCTTTTCTTAAACTGAAAATGTCTGGGAATGGAATAACCAAGGGCATTCAACTTGGAATCCATAGATCACCACAAGAGATTACATAATTGAGTGTCAACCTTCTCCTATTGTGGTCGGGCCTTTTCATCTACCTCACTAGTCTTCTTGGTTAAGTAATCTTGAATACCTTGACCCTTGCACTACAACTCATCCGAGGAAGCCCAAGTTAAATAGTTTGAACATGCCATTAAGAAATCTGAAGTAATCATAACACTTCAATTTCCAACTCCCATATTTTTGGAACTAGAAGTATCGAATCTAAGAGACATGATTGGATTGAAGAGAGTACTAAGCAAATAATCGCAAAATATTACTGGGAAGGTTGTTGCCCGAAACTGCACAAAAAAGGGGAAGGTCTGTAAATCTGGTTGTCAGAACTGCTTGAGAAAAGATGGGTTTAGGTCGAAATCACCAATCGCACCCCAAGAATCAGAAGCTAAAGTTGGCGGAGAACTCGTCACGTGCTCAGTACGTGGATCAGAAGTGCCGCCGGAAACTGTTGTTGCCGGGGCCAGAGAGCGTGAGGTGTCAGGTGTTGGAGGAGCTAACTGGGCTTTGCTGTCAGAGCTTTCAAAGCATCGTAGTAGTAGTATTAGTAGTATTATTTTTCGCAAGTTAGTAAGTTGCATTAATGCGGACAACCACTTGGGTCACCAGAAAATTGTGGTGACTGATTTTCTTTCTAGGAAGAGGCCGGTATTTTTGCACAACGATATTCTCTCACCAAGGCTCTGCTACCATGTGAGAAGTAAAGACACGATACATTATTAAGATGTGTATCTATATTATAGTTATTCATAATAATCCTTTTCCATGTGAGACTATATACATTAATATTCTAACAGATCACAGATATCTAAGGAAGCATTAGCCAACAAACCTGCATCGCGGAACATGACATTCAGATACCTTGCATGCACGAGCATGCAATTGAAGGAGATACCACATCTTCTTACAGAGAACACAACCTCCAGAAACTCGTATTTTACACTGTATACCATGGCGGAAAAGCCCCTTAACTTTGCGACAGTTCACATATGGACAATGAGGAAAGCGACACTGAGAAGCATGCACCAGAAGCTCAAGCATCTTCTTAAGCTGTAGAGTTGAGGGGAGAAATCATGTCAGATCTCACATCTAGTATATATTTTTAATAAAATGAAAGAAAACATAATCGAGTAAAAATAATTTTCATTTATATGTAAACAGAACCATCTATACCACAGATGATAGTTGAACTGCAAGGTATCATTAAATCATTGTCCTCTTTATCTTTTCCATTAGGATAGAGAACAGCATCTAATACTTTTCTATTTCATATGAATTTTAAGATGTTCAATCAAGAAACTTCCAAGGAGATTTTGGAAAAATTTCTGGAAAAAATAGTTTTTTTGCAAAAGATAACATCCTTGGATAGCTCTAATCTTCCAAAAAAAAAAAGGATATTCAAGAGACAGACCTGTTTTGACAATTTGCGAACTCGCAAATTTACATCACAAGCAAGACCTTGTATTCTTGCTATTCAGGATTTTCAAGGAAATGAATGAAACAATTATCATTACTCAAAGAAAAGGTCAATGAATAGAAGTTGTCAAATATAACTTAGAAGGGATTGATTTCCTTATATGATTATTGGCAATTCACAATGTAGGAGCTAGCTTTTGGATTGATAAAGGCCCAAGATCCATTTCTTATCATATCGAATAAAATTATATTTACTTATCAAAAGAGCTACTTGGAGAATTGAACAATTAGTCTCTTTTGGGGCTATTTTGTGGAAATAGATTAATATTACATAATATCAAGACATACATAAGAATACAAGATCACTTTTATTTTTACATTACAACTTTTAATGAAAGAAGTTAAATCCTTTTTGATGACATAATTGGGATAATTTGACAGGTTATG